ACAGACAGACAGACAGACAGACAGACAGACAGACAGACAGACAGACAGACAGACAGACAGACAGACAGACAGACAGACAGACAGACAGACAGACAGACAGACAGACAGACAGACAGACACACGCACACACGCACACACGCATGCATGCACCCACACACATATACACACTCACACTTGCACGCACTCAACAACACAGACAGAGACAGACAGACAGACAGACAGACAGACAGTCAGACACAAAAAGATAGAGGGGTAGAGAGAGAGAAAACAGAGAGAGAGAGAGAGAAAACAGAGAGAGAGAGAGAGAGAGAGAGAGAGAGAGAGAGAGAGAGAGAGAGAGAGAGAGAGAGAGAGAGAGAGAGAGAGAGAGAGAGAGAGAGAGAGAGAACAGAGAGAGAGAGAGAGAGAAAACAGAGGGGGGGGGGGGATAACATTACTAAGGAATATTAAGCTGAGAGACAACAAAGTGACTTGATGACTTCTAAAACCTGAACTTATTATTATAGCATTTGGACCGGTGTCTGTGGTGTAGCAGTTGGGTGCTTCACTGTAGCATGCAGGAGATCCGAGTTCGATTCCAGTTGGGTAGAAAATTGAACCGAGTATCTAGGTCTTTCTACTAGGATGTTGTTTCCCTCCAAGCCCAGGTTGGCCATGACAGGCACGATCTAGAAGCGCACTCTCCGAATACATGTAATAGAAATTGTGCTGATGAGAGAGTTAATAAACACCTTCATATTAATTTAAAAAAAAACAAAAAAAAACCATCTGGAACACCACAGGTATCAGATTACTACCGTGAGCTGTCCCGCCAAGAACAAGTGATTATGTTCAGACTAAGTACCATCCGCACACGTGAAAATAAAATGAATAGTAAAATAGAATAGGTTTTTACACCCCTATCAACACTATTAGTAGGTTATTTAAGAGGCGGGACCTCCTAGGTTAACGTCCGTCTCCGACAGGACCGCTCCAAAAATTGGAAATTCGTGTAAAGTGTCTTCCATGAGGACACAACGTCGGGGCTGGCAGAGGCTCGAACCCCGCAACCTGCATCTGACTACGGGCCTGGTAGCCTAACCACCCAAGCTACCGACGCCACGGAAACGCAAAGACAACACATTATGTACTCGTGTTTTATAGTGGTACAGTCATCAAAGATGCCAGTGTGGAGAGGCGGGCCAAACTGTGGAACACATCCTCCAGCAATGCACCCCACACAGATCCCTGAGGCAGGAAATGAGGCCAACTTTTCGGAAAACCCCACATCCTATCGTAAAAAAATGATATCAAATTCGGAACCAGCATATCAAAATTGACATTACAACTCTCGGGCGACTCTTTTTCTTGATGTATTGTGAAGATCACAAAAAAGAAGGGGTTTTTTTTTACCAAGATCGCATCCTGTATTATATTTTTATCACAAAGAAGATGGATGTTGATGGGCAACTGTCAGTTTTAACCGAACGTATAGTACCTCTTTTAAACTGCCTAACAGGGGGCGTAAAATTAGGGGAAAAACAAACAAACAAATAAACAAACAAACAAACAAACATATGTGACCTTATGCAGTTGCGAGCGCCGTAAAACACTTCCAATCCCTCCCCCCTTAAAAAAAAACAACAAAAAACAACACACACCAAAAAACACAAAAAACAAACAAAACAACCACAAAACCTCATCGAAACAACAACAACAACAAAAACAACAACAACAACAGCAACAACAACAACAGCAACAACTACAACAACAACAACAAATGCCGAGCGCGCCTACTTTAACAGCAGTATCCTCTTTTCCACCAACATTCGACCAAAAGAACACACATGACGACATGGTCTACCATAGTCCACAACATAAACAAAAGGAGATTTGTAATCGTGAAAAGTTTTGATCTGGCTCATTACGAAATAACCTACTTATGTCAGATTTGGCTCACGACTCACGCGGAAGGATTTCCAGAGTCTCTTTAAAACAAGAGAGACAGAGATGAAATGTGGCTTATTATGTGACTGGGTGCGAACAATTTTGTACCATGAAGACAGACATGATCACAGTCAATAAAATAATAACGACAATATGTATTAAAAAAACCAATGTTGGTTCATTATATATCATTTGTTTTGGTAAAAATGGGTGGTTTTTATGGAAGTTTTAATAAATAAGCATTCAATTTAACACTGCCTCAACTCTGCTCCCGATATTCTTCAGTTACTGCACAGTCAGGTGTGGCTAAAAATTAAATACCACTTAAACCGATTTTAACCCTTATCAAGGGGCTTAATTCTTGATATACTATCTGACTGGATACTTAACTTTACTTTTTACTTCCTCTGGTATCCTTAGAGTGTCGATGGAAGGTGCAGGTTTCGGTCCAGTGTTAGGTCTGTAGCGTCTGTGATAGATACGTGTTACGTTGTTCCAGGACATTTTTCACCCGGTCCAGCCAGGTCTTTCTTGGTCGTCCTCTTGATTTGAAGCCGGATTCACGGGTATGGTAAGCTCTAGCCGCCAGTTGTTTCTGGGGCCCGGTAAGATGTCCGAACCATCTGACTCTTTGGCGCGCTGTAAAATTTATTACTGGTGGTATTCCGGTTTGTAGGCGTTGTCTCTTTTCTTATGCGGTCTCTTCTGGTGACGTCAGGGGCGAAGGCTGACTTGTTTGACAGGGTAATCAAAGTGAAATGGGACCAGATAGGGCCTGGAGATATCACACTCACACAAGTCACAAGAATCTTAATGGCACTGGAGGCGGCAACTCTGAGTTGTGAATGAAAACAAATCCTGAATTCAGGTTGTATGCTTGTTCAACCGCTAAAATAA